TTCCAAAGGATCATATTTAGGTATCCTTGTTAAGGAAATTTTATTACATATTGTAAGCTGTTTATGTAGGCCAGGAAAATAAGCTGGGAAATTACCATTTCGCGACTTTTTGTTTCGGCAAGCTGAATTTATCACTATAGACGCTAAATATTATGTACAATAACATATTAGTTTCCACAGTCAAAAAAATGGGAGGAAGATTGTTTATCGGCTGGTTAATTGTATAATTTTTACGTAAATTCACATTTTTCGCTTATAACTTTTTCCGTTTATTTCCACGAGAAGACAGTAAAGTACTTTTTTTTCGTCTTCAAAAGACCTACAAAACTAGCCCGCGAGTGTCAAAAAATATTGATTATATCAAAAGTTATAAACACAAGAAGTTTATTTATGACTTTTGAATTAAACATTTATAAACTGCGTTATTATTACCAGAACGTTTTGGCATCGTATCCTCTCATTCCTTATCACTGTCTAATAACTCACACGAAATCTGGAATCGGTAAGTTGAATAGTTATTAGTTTATTTTTTAGCCTTAGTTGCAAAATGAAATATACGTCTTCAAAAGACCTACAGTCTTTTAAAGACGAAAAAAAAAGTACTTTACGGTTTTCTCGTGGAAATGAACGGAAAAAAGTTATAAGCGAAAACGTGAATTTACGTAAAAATTATACAGTCAATTAACCACCCTGTAAACAATCTTCCCCCATTTTTATGACTGTGGAAACTAATATATTATTGTACATAATATTTACCATCTAGTGATAAATTCAGCTTGCCGAAATAAAAAGTCGCGTCCAACTCTACAGGGTGTCTCACATTTAAATAGCAGGACTTCAGGAATCAGTAGGAGACCTCATTTTGAGTCTAAAAGTTCCTATATATATGGGTCCTAAAACGCTTAGTTTCTGAGATACAGGGCGTTCAATTTTATTTTTGTTTTATTTATTTATTTTTTAACTAAATAAGCGCTGACAAAAAAAATCATCATGTTGCGGCGAAAGACTTAGTATTTGAGGGCAAATAATTTGACACAGAAAATCATCGCATATTAGTTCCAGTGGTGGAGATAGAGGGGTCTCTATGCATATTTTTATAAAAAAAAGTATAGCCGATTTGATATTTTGCAAATGTTTTCGAAAAATATGAAAGAGCATTCAATTTTACCCAGAAAAGGCCCTCTTGTCCAAAGTCGATAGGAGGTGGCGTTTTCAAGAAAAACCGAAAATACTGTTTAGAAGTCAAATAATAATTTTTAAACATTGTGTTACAACTAAATTAAATATGTAGTTCAAAAATTCGGTTAAAATTGTTTTTAATTAATTAAATGAAAATAAATACAAAAATAAATAACGAAAACCATATTACATCAAAGCAAATGTTCGAAATGTAAACCATTTTCTTCGATACATAACTGACACCGACGCTGAATAGAACGTCTCATTTGAATTAAGTTATTGTCTCTGATTTCACTGCATGCGTTCCGAATCCGACGAATAAGTTCATCCCTTGTGTCCACAGTAGTGGTATAAACTCTCTCTTTAATAAAACCCCAGAGGAAAAAATCTAGGGGTGTCAGATCAGGGGATCGGGGAGGCCATGCAACGATACCCCCGCGGCCAATCCATTTTTCGGGAAAGTGGGTGTTCAACCAGTTCCTGACATTTCGGCCAAAATGAGCTGGACAGCCATCAAGTTGAAACCATGCTCGCATTCTTAAATTCAGAGGAATTTCCTCCCACATGTTGGCACTCTCGGTCTCTAAGAACTCTAAGAAATTCGCAGAATTCAGTCGTTGAGGTAAGATGTAAGGGCCGAAAAGACAATTGTTATAAACGCCGAGCCAAATATTAACACTAAATTCGTGCTGAAAATTTCGTGGTCTGATTGCATGCGGGTTTTCATGTGCCCACTCATGCTGATTGTGTAAATTTGTCACACCTCGACGAGTAAAACATGACTCGTCGGTCCATAATATGTGTGATAAAAAATTTCCGTCGTTTTCAATTGAGTTAAGAATCCACCGAGAAAAAGCTATTCTATGTTCCTCGTCACCCGGACGTAAACCCTGAACAGGTTGTAAGTGGTAGGGATGTCTATGATCTCGTCTTAATGTTCTAGAAATAGTGCACCTGGAAACACCAATAATCCTGGAAATTTTTCTGGTACTCGTCGTGGGATCTCTGTCAAATTCGTGCAAGATTCGCTGATTCCTCCTATTTCTGCCAATATTAACGTTAATTATGTTGCGATCCCTATGGACCAGATTCAATCCGTCATTAGCGAAACGTTGATGAATATTAATAAAAACGTGTGGATGCGGCTGTCTTCTATTAGGAAATCGTCTCCGATATTCCCTAGCAGCTTCTGCCGAGTTCCCATTGGCAAACCCGTATACGAAGTGAATATCTGCGTATTCTTGGTTCGTAAACTTAAACGGCATTTTGAATTTGTTGCAATTTTTTTTAATACTCTACACACAATTAGAAACTATAATAAAATAAGCGCAAATGTCAATATTAGAATGACATTTCAAGTCTGATTTGATTTCTAAACAGTATTTTCGGTTTTTCTTAATTCGACTTCTAAACAGTATTTTCGGTTTTTCTTGAAAACGCCACCTCCTATCGACTTTGGACAAGAGGGCCTTTTCTGGGTAAAATTGAATGCTCTTTCATATTTTTCGAAAACATTTGGAAAATATCAAATCGGCTATACTTTTTTTTATAAAAATATGCATAGAGACCCCTCTATCTCCACCACTGGAACTAATATGCGATGATTTTCTGTGTCAAATTATTTGCCCTTAAATACTAAGTCTTTCGCCGCAACATGATGATTTTTTTTGTCAGCGGTTATTTAGTTAAAAAATAAATAAATAAAACAAAAATAAAATTGAACGCCCTGTATCTCAGAAACTAAGCGTTTTAGGACCCATATATATAGGAACTTTTAGACTCAAAATGAGGTCTTCTACTGATTCCTGAAGTCCTGCTATTTAAATGTGAGACACCCTGTATATTCCCTGGCCTATATGAACGAATTTACAATAAAAACTATATTATAATTAACAATATTCAAAATTATACAGCTATACAGGTGTGCCATTTGACACTCCCGCTGCCAATCTCCGAAATGAACAAATTTATTTTAGTTTCGGAAACTGAGGTTGTTAGGTCCCTCGAATAGCTTCGAATTGCAGTTAGAATTATTAGTGTATTCTTTCTGTATAGATAGCGTGGCGATACTAAAAAAATGTTTCATTCCTGGAACGTGGAAATGTGGTCCATCTAAAAGTACGTTAAATTTTAAGCAATTTTTGTCATTTAAGGTTTTTCCCAATATTTACTTATTTTCGAGACTTCGACTTCAATATGCAATGTATGATGTAACAGGAAAATCTATTGTTTTATTTAAATCAATCTGAGACAAAATATTCTTTTAAAGTATTGTTATAATGGCTTTATTCACACCACATACAAACTAACAATAAATTACAAAAAACAATTAATCAACTACAAAAAAAAATTACAATAGTAAATCTTATAACTAGTATAGTTAAATTGAAAGACGCAAGCTTGGAAAACTAATATGTGTCATCTGTCATACATGTTTTATTTTAAACAAATGACATGAGCCACCTATGACTGAAATTTTTAATAACATTTGATAAAATACGGTTCGTCTCTCTGCTCCTTATAAGATTTACCATTGTACAATTTTTTTTCCATAGTTGAACATTTGTTTTATTATAATTTATTGTTTGTTAGTTAGTATGTGGTGTGAATAAAGCCATTATAACAATATTTTAAAAGAATATTTTGTCTGTGTGATTTAAATAAAATAATAGATTTTCCTGTTACATCATCTATTCCTTGCATATTGAAGTCGAGATATCTTGAAAACTAGTAAATATTGGGAAAAACTTTATATTACAAAGATTACTCAAAATTTAACGATCTTTCAGATGGACCATAGGATTCAAAAATGTGTACGTATCGCCACGACATCTAAACAGAAAGTACTAACAATTCCAACTGTAATTTGAAGCTATTCGAAAGACCTAACAACCCCAGTTTCCGGAACTAACAATAAAATAAATTTCTTCATTTCGGAGATATAGGCAGTGGGAGTGTTAAATGGACACCCTGTATATCTACTGCCCCTCATCTCCCGATCCTCCCCCACTATACTTGACCGCGTACGCGCGCTTGCTCGTTTTTGAGTATGTCTGGAGGAATTTTTTTACCTATTTCGCATCATATTATCGGAAAGTTAGAATATACCTTTTGTAGTACATATTATACTTCTCTTTTAAAATCCGGCTGAAAATTTAAAATCGCACTACCTCCAACGCATCTAGAAATTTCTCAAAATAGTGTAGCAAAAAATTCGAATTGCTATTGTGCCAAAACTACTGGTCCGACAGCGCCTGGTTTGTGCACACTTAAATATGGCGAAGCAATGAATTTAAAAAAAACCGCTAGATTTTCCGATTTTTCAGGATTTTCTTCGTTTCTAATTATCCGATCGGATCGATCGACCTCTCGCTTTATTCGTATTTCGATTCTCTACAAATTGTCTCATAATAGCATTCAGATTGCTTTGTTAGTTTAGGTTTTATAAGCAAAAAACTAAAAAACGCGTTTGTTTGCATAAAAATGTTTATAAAAAATTATTTAATGATAAATTTGAGTAGGAAACATAAGCATATATCTACAGGCTGTTTTTTACATGATGGCACAATCCGTTTGCTACTAGTATCTGTCAGAAAATCACTGATTTAATGCTGTTCACGTTATTCGTCGTCGTCAAATCCGGCAATTTGAACCATCTTCTATCTCTAAAAATAACCGAAATCCCCACGATGCATCCGATATACATAAAAAAATATGTACTTCCACAAGCATACGCCTACCTACGTATTTATTATTCCACAGGTGTTCCGAGCAATCGCCAACCTACTAGAAGTGACAAATTACTCCATCACATTCTACATTTACTGCCTGTTCTCCGAAGACTTCAGGAACACCTTGCTGAGAACCCTCAGCCTACCCAGCAGCACCCCCGCCCGCGGCTTGATGAAGCCTCCTCCACCAACGGCCACGACGACCATAACCCAGCATAGAAGTGTTTGATATAAAAGCAGCAGGCCGCTGGCGACACCGGTCTAAAATATTTCACGAAGCACGCACAAGATCAATTATCTGTTACTTTTTGGTGCTAAGCAAACCAGGAATAAAGAGGAGTAATGAGATTAGCCTAAGATTTTGTTACGAATATTTGTTTACATTACGAGAAACTTCCAACGGTGGTGTAGTAATGAAAGGAGGGAAAGAATATTGTTTAAGCATTTCAGATAGTGTACATAAGAAACAATTTTCACTTTTATATGTTTCCAGTTGGACAAACTGGAAAAATAAATCAAAATTGTCTCCTTCAGGTGGAGCAAAAGGAATAAAAATTGAAGTGATAACTTAGATATTCTTTAGGATAAATCAAATTATACGAGTTGAAATATGCATTATAGATAGCATAATTTTACTGAAATAAAGTTTTTTAATACTAATATACCATACGAGTCAGCCTTGCAGCTTCTATTTTATTATTTATTTTTAATTTAAAACTATTTTAAAGGTAAAAAAGATGTAGGAATTTTAACCTTGCAACTTTTCTTTTTTGCATATTTTCAACAATTCAAGATTGTAAACTAAAACATATTTAATTGGGCGTATTCCAAATAAGTTTAATAAAAATATTAACGAGGGACCGATAATAACTAGGTATGTAGTAAACCAGGTGGTCTTAAAGTAAGAATACCTAATATTTTGAAAAAGCGACAAAGTTTAATGAAATCCACTTAAAAAAAATAGAACATTTTAAACAGATTATATACATACACTGTTTTCTACTTTGAGTCAGCACACCCTTGTATTTTAGAATGGTTTTTTCTCTTTTTTTTACATGGAGTGAGACTTGATAAGATCTACGGCTCACTATACAGGGTGACCCATTGACGGTACGGAGCGACTGTACAGGCTGTTACAAATTCGCTTCTCACTATAGAGATCTCGGAACCGATAAGAGATACAAACTAGCTTAAATGGGGGCAAAGTTGAGTAATCAGGGGACCAACATTATGCCTCTAAAAAATCAAGGATAACATGATTACTTTTCGAAATATTTGAAAAAAAAACGAAATTTTGGAAATCCGTTTTTGTTTCATTTCAGCTTAGTTTGAGATGATATTGAAAAAAGAAGAACACTTGCTCAGGGCCACTTTTTGCCCTCTATCGAATGGCATCATCAATTTTTATATGTGACGTTTCGTCTCTCCAGGACCATCATCAACATCATTTTTTTAAGTACGACCCTAGAAATTTAATTACATTTTTTGCAAACCTTCATGACCCCCAATACTGTACTGTCTCAGCCCGAACCACATTCAGACGTTTTGTCTCCAAAAAATCATCTTCAGTGTATTCATTCCAAGTTTATCTAAATTTTTTATTTAGATTCCTTTGTTTATTGTATTATTGTACACTGTAAGTGTCGTTAGACCCTGTGAAATCCATTTAAACTATTACCATCACTAGGTCAAACAAAACTCAATAAGTTGTTGCGTCAAAATTAAAACATTATCTATTACAATTTTAATTTTATTATGACAAATTAATTCTTAAAAATGCATATGAACAACCAAAACGCCAACTAAATATTATTCTTTAAAAAATTTCAGTAAATGTTCAAAAGCATTTTCGTTTTGGCAAAGGTTGAAAATGAAGATCAGCGTAATATTATCGGAATTTATTATGTCTGTAACCGCAACTGTGAAAGAACATGTTTGTATGAATATCCTGAAAAAAATTGATCGGAATTTGTTTGAATTTTCAGCACTCGAGAAGCCTAGAAATAACTATGGACACGAGAATAAAACTCTAATAATTTTTTATTTTAATGCATGGTGGTAACAATAACTAGATGGAGTTCACAGGATCTAACGACACTTAACGTGTACGATAATTCAATAAACAAATAAATCTAAACAAAAAATTTAGATGAATTTGGAACGAATCTAGTTTGGACTGAGGCAATATAGTATTGAGGGTCATGAAGGCTTGCAAAAAATGTAATAAAATTTCTAGGGCCATATTTAAAAAAATGAAGTTGATGATGGTCCGAGAGAGACGAAACGTTACATATAAAAATTGATTATGCCATTCGATAGAGGGAAAAAAGTGACCATGAGAAAGTGTTCTTATTTTTTCAATATCAGCTCAAACAATGCTGAAATTAAACAAAAACGGATTTCCAAAATTTCGAATTTTTCAAATATTTCGAAAACTAATCATGTTAGCCTTAATTTTTTAGAGACATAATGTTGGGTCCCTGATTACGCAACTTTGCCCCCATTTAAGCTAGTTTGTATCTCTTACCGTTTTCGAGATCCCTGTACTGAGAAGCGAATTTGTAACAGCCAGTATAGAGAGCCACCAACTACTCGTGACGATATGATAAATAGAATAAGACTAGCTTGTCTTGATATTACACCACAAATGCTACATGACATTGATATCGTTTGCCGAATAAACCAAGAAAGAGGAAATATTTTTGAACACCTATTTTAACACTTAATAAAACCTTGTTTTATCAATAAATATATATTCTGCTATCATATAAAAGATGTCCCATTCACTAAAAATCCAATAAGAATAAGAAAGCTGCATAATTTAAGATCATTGTTCTTTTCTGCAAAAAGTAAAGATACATTTTAAGCAATGCTTTTTTGTTTCAACTCTTTAGCCCTAGTACGTCGACGCTATTTTGGTAAAAAAATTAAAAATAAAGAAATTGCTAAAAATATTGTAAAATATGAGGAACTGATATACAAGGTGGCCAAATGAAAACGAATCAGAGCCATTTTCAGGAACTGCGTCAAGATTGTAGAAACGTTCAGACCCGTCGATTTTAGATTAAAGGGGGACATTCTTTGCTGGTATTTTTGACTCCGCCACTTTCACCCCCAAGCAAGGGTAAGCATCACCCCGAAATATTTAAATGGCAAATGGTTGAGTAATATTTCTTTTGAAAGCTATTACAATTCTCTCTACAACAGACTTTTCTTTATAAGGCAGGCCGGTTTTTGTAAAATAATATACAGGGTGATTCAGGACTTATCCAAAATAAAAATCCTGGATGTACAGGGGACCCTTACAAATACAATTTTGTAAAGAAAAAATCAAAAAGGGCAGTTCGAAATTGATTTAAAAATACACTTCTGCACGGCACTGGAAATTGGTCCACTGTAAAACCTGACCGCGCACAATGCGACCGGCATGGCGGTGTGATAAAAACCGACAAAAACTTTCGCAAGGAAAGAAATAAATAGAATTTTATAGCACCTTTTTATATCGGCAAATTCAAATGCTTTTGCCTTTAATTATTAATAAAATTTATTTGTGTTTTTAAATAATAAAATCATTTGACATACCCGATGTTACAACAATAATTATTGTTCAAAATTTTATCCACTAACGTGTAAACACATTTGGGTCCGTCGTACTTTCTACGAACTAACACAAATGACGTCTTGCTGCTTCACCATAACACAAATGCTTCACCATAATACAAATGTTGTCTTGCTTCACCATAAATTAAAACGATATCCATCAACTCTGAGTTGCTATACACGCAAACCATTTTTGACACTAACTACTAAAACACTTATATGTGGTGTTTACAACACCACATATAATAGGTAAAAACTACCGCAACGACGGATTTCAGTATTAGGAGTCACATGGCTCTCCACGCGTATTGCGAATGTCGCTAGAGGGTACAGTTGTCCAGCTATGTAGTGGTTGAATGTACTATAACTTCAATAATTTTTTTCTCGGAAACTATAAGGATTTTACAAATATTTTTTTTACGTTATTAACTCCATTTCTCATGCCGCATCTATTCCCAAATTTTTTTGGATAAGTTGTGAATCACCTTGTATAATTACCGAAACAGCAAATAAATATCGTTTGTTTCGAAATGATACGGGGGTAAATGAAAATTTATTCTCTTTCTTTAGGTACAATACAAAAATCTAAATATTTCCTAAACGGATTGAGATATCAAGATGCGGTTTTGACCAGTTTTATTTTAATTAAATGTTGGCCACAATGACTTAAGCAAAAAGTATATCGTTCCATTTAAAATTTCCAAGAAAAATTAGGGAATAGGTTAGGTTTCAACATATCGCCATTTTGTACCTTTATTAAACAACTTTTTGCCATCACTAAAACATTTATTAAATCTGTAGGGTATTGTAATTTTACAAACCTAATTACAAGAAAATCCATTAAAGCGATCCGAAAACAGCATTTTTTCAAATTAATAACAGAAATTTATCCCACCCCTCTGTTTATCGAGGAAATAAAAAACTTCACTAGGAAAAGTTTTACGAAATGGACTATCGACTAAAACTGATAAAAAATATATCCACGATAATAAGGCATTTTTTCATTTAAAGACAATTTTAAACATTTCTTGATCAGTTGCTCCCTCTTACAGAGATTTGTGAAAAATTAAAATATTTTTAGCGAAATTTTCATGGTCACTTTTATTATAAGAATTTTTTCCCCGAACCTATAGGACCAATAGGTTCCCATTACAGCCTGCCTTAATCAAACATCCTGTATAATTACTGTTTCTATCCCAACTTCGTGGCCAGTTGTGTTAAAAAGCTTTGTCAAAGACTAATTCATGTTGCAAACATAAAATTTCTCATATTGATGAATTAGTTTATGTATGTATGCAAGGTTTTCTAAATAATATGTTTTAAAAATTGTACTTACTATAGCAAATACCCTGTATGCCCAATATAAATATGAAATTTAAGCATTAGCTAATAGGCACACATACGATTTAATTAAGCTATAAGTTTTCTACTTTAAAAAAGTTTAATGTGATTTTTCAAATTTTTTAACACAGTGAGCCAAGTACCTAAAGGTACAAACAGAAATTACGCATTTTTAGGTATATCTCATTAAGTACTCCATGGAAAAAAAATAATTAAAATCAACTCATGCTCTAAAATATGAAAGTGGTGCTGCTCAATCTGGAACATAGTGTGTATACAGAATGTTGACGATACAACAAACAAGATGTAACTTTTCAAAGATTTGTTAATAGGTCTAAATTTTCCCAATGGTGTTACAATTTCATTATTATAACAATAACAAATTTGCGTTTTCTGGAAAACACTTTTGCGAGTTTGGAACCTCTGTATCGTACAACGTTCTGTGTGTTACGCCACTGACTACCATCTCCAGAAACACCACATTACAAGTACAATAAAGCACATACTGTTCACACGTTGATGGAAATGTATTTAATATGTAAGGCTAGTATAAGTTGTTCTCTCAAGAGTGTAAGCGCAAAGCAACATTCCATTTTGATAAATGTAAATATTCGTAAAAATGTTTTATATACATTTGCATTTTTCCAATAAAAGATGAAAGTAAATTTAAGATTAACTACTTAATTAACGAACATCTTTTAGTAATTTTTGTATACATTTTAGCATTTATTTAGTTGGAAATCGATAGACTGTTGAAAATGTTTATAATCGTATGAAAAAAATCTCGTGTATACAGGGTGTCCGGAAATGATGAGCAAAAAATTCAGGGGATAATTCTAGACCGAAAATAAATGCTACCTCTTTCTATAACATTTTTTCCAAAACTGATTATTAACGGATTTCGTATTCATCACATGCAAGCAATGTTATTTTAGCGTTATTCTCGAAAACGGTTAGATTTATAGAAACAAATAAAGTATACCTTTTTTATGTCAAAAGGTTGGGAGAACAAAAATATTCAGTCAAAAGTCGCATAAAGTGTAGCACAAAAAAGTTGGAACCATTCAAATCAAAATAAAGGCTCGTATGTGGTGCCCTCTACAAAATGCGAAAAAACGGTGGGCAAATTTATAATCCTCATCCCGAAAAACCCCCATATCCGAAATTTCGTCAAAATATTATGAGTGTGGCAAAAGGTATTGCAAAAAAACTGCAAATAAAATTTAACTTTAACACCCTGTAACTCCGTTAATAATCAGTTTTGGAAAATATGTTATAGAAAGAGGTAGCATTTATTTTCGGTCTAGAATTATCCCCTGAATTTTTTGCTCATCATTTCTGGACACCCTGTATAATGGACAGATTATTTTTAATGGAAAAGGAAAGAAATATGTTACGGTGTATCAGAAGATGAATTAATAGATATAGATTTTGAAATGGTGATATTACGAAATTAATTCTTGACTTTAAACGCAGTTTTAATTTGCCGACTCAAATAGATTAATTCCAACAAAATATTCAGAACAATATAAAGCCGTTAGCTTGTTTATCTCATAATAACAGCTTATAATTATTTTTAATAATTTATTTTTTATTACTCTTCAATTTTTTTAACCTTAGCACTTTGTAGCTCGAAAACGAACATTAATTTTCTAAAATAAGTTGCATAAATACATCAATTTTATCTTATCATTATTCAAAATAAGATCTTTGGAGCTGTACCTACATACAAACAAAATACAAATAGTATATAATGGAATATAGCAAATACTTAGGTACTCAAATACGAGCTTCAAAGTTAAGTATTTTTATGAGGTAAACAGGTGACTCTCATAATTCTACAGGGTGTTTTAATTGAAGTAGCAAAAATGGTACAAGTGAATGTAGAGCCAAAAATAAGAGGATTGAAGTAAAAATACCTTATATGAAAGTTGCACCCCTCTTAAAGCAGGGGATTGAAATTCACATTTTAAATTTTTTTCTATAACAAGACAACTTTTCAATATTTGTTCGATCATTGGCATATTTTATAAAGGAGTGAAACAGTCGACCCCATTGCAATATTTTATTAGAAATTTTTTATATGAGGTAAATTATTTATTTAAAAATATTTGTTAAAAAGACTGATTTATTGTGCAACTTTTTAACCTCTTGTAATTTTTCGATAAAACCGATAGTTTTCTAGTAAAATAATTAGATGCGTCATCGTTCATTAAAGGGGTAATTGCGAAAATTTATAAAATAAAGTAGCGGATGTCACAACAAAAAAATTGTTATTTATCATATTAATAAATTGACACTTTCTGTCAATAAGCTGGTAATTTAATAATAACATTAAGAATAATTTGCTATTAATTAATGAAAAATGTTTGATAACTTATGACTATGGGACATATTAGGTCAAATTATTTAAGTATATGAAATAAAAAATACAAACGAAAAACAAGAAATGCAAAATTAAATTTAAAGAATATTCTCGAAATAATTTCCATTTTGCTGCAAGCATAACCTAATACGTCTATTGAAGTTATAACGCACTCACACAAACAGTTCTTGGTTATTGCGAAGACCATCTGCTGCCTGAAATATTCTTAAGTCTAGTTCTTCTAAGGAGGCAACAGGAGTGACATAAACAATACTATTTATGTGTCCCCACAAAAAAAAATCCATAGGCGTTAGGTCAGGTGAATGTGCAGGCCAACAAACAGGGGCATCATGACCACGACCAAGCAATTCAGGTGATTTAAATTTAACCATACTCTAACGGCAAGTGTACTATGTGCAGACGCCCCATCGTGGATATACCACATCACCTGACGTGTAGCGAGGGGTACATCCTCAAGTAATGTTGCGACATTTTCGTTCAAAAATCTAAAATACTCGGCCGCTGCAAGCCTGTGTGGAAGAATAAAAGGACCTACTACTAGAGTATTTCCTACAATTACCATCCAAACGTTTAAACTGAAATTATGTTGACGTCTTGAAACAAATATTTCATGAGTATTATCTTCCGACCATGAATGAACATTATGAAGGTTTACTGCAGCTACTCTAGAAAAATTTGCTTCATTAGGAAATTTAAGTCATGCCTGGAAATATGAATTGACAAAACTCCATGCGGTTAGGTAAATCAGGGTCATTCAATTCTTGCACGGGTTGATGGTGAAAAGGGTATAAAAGATTTTCATGAGCTACATTCCACACAAGACTGAGAAACTTGCAGTTGCCTGGACACATGTCTTTTGCTTGTACCACAGTCTTGTTCTAGATGTTCCAGTATAGCTTCCTCAGTTTCAACAGTTCGGTCATTACGCCTTCTTCCGGCACCCTCACGATTGGGCTGAATTTTACGTTTCACAAAGCCTTCTTTCCACCGAGGCCAATGTCTGTCTATGAGGAATCGGTCGGTTTGGATATCTTTGGTGGTATAATCTTACTGCAGCGTTACTATTTTTTCTGGATTCGAAAAACACTTGGAGCATGTCGACATATTCGTCATTAGTATAAATATTAATTGCCATAATTATTCTGATAAAAAATTAATCAATTGGTACTAATTATTGGTTGATAGAAAGTGTCAATTTATTAATATGATAAATAACAATTATTTATTTGTTACGACATCCGCCTACTTTATTTTTACAAATTTTCGCAATTACCCTTTTAGTGAACGATGACGCATCTAATTTTTTTACTAGAAAATTATCGGTTTTATCGAAAAATTACAAGAAGTAAAAAAGTTAGGCAATAAATCAGGCTTCCCAATAAATATTTTTAAATATATTTCTAATAAAATATTGCAACTGTTTCACTCCTTTATAAAATACGCCAATGGTCGAACAAGTATTGAAAAGTTGTGTCTTTATTAGTAGGATACTCATAACAAGTTTCGTGTCTCTAGCATTCCTGATGTTAAAGAAAAAAAATTAAAATGTGAATTTCAATCCCCTCCTTTAAGAGGGTATATCGCCTCAGGGGTACAACATTCATATAAAGAATTTTTACTTCAATCCAGCCAAAAGCCGAAAATAAGAATTTTTGGCTCTAAATTCACTAGTACCAACTTCATTTACAAACACTCTGTATAGGTTTGTTCTTACAGCAGTCTCAAACTGTTATCAAACTATCAGATATACTCTGCCTCTCTTAAGTTGTCACATACTTTCAGCGAGTCTAAGGCCACGAATGAATTGGTAAAACACCTTTCAGTCCTCAGCTGCTGTAAAAATAGACCTTATATTACTTATACATAAGAGATAACTACTTGCGATTGTATTCGTTACTTATTAATTTGAAAATAACTGTGATATAAGGGCGAGAAATATTTAACCTGCAGAAACTGCCTAAGTATGAAATATTCACTATAGTCTTGTTTATAATAGTTTGTAATATATGTCTTGTATGTATTTATGTATTTACAATAAATAATGAGCAAATGTTATAAGCTTACCTTATTGCATTCCTATGGTACCCAATTCATATTATTTTTGTAACATTCTCACATAATTTGGTAATGATTAAATAAATTAGAACTATAACAAAAAATAAAATAAGATTTAAGATATACAGATAGAACTAGATATAATTCTTGCAGCTTCACTGTTGCGGTAAAATGACCGAAACATTAAAACATTTTTATGAAAAGTTCCTTTAAAAATTCAAAAGTTACCATACTCTCTGCCTTACTGATTGGTATGAAATATATATAAAGCTAGATGCTTTACAAGTAGGAAGAAATAAAACATGGATATATCGTAAATCAACGTTTATTTCCAATTTATTAACGTAATCTGGTAGCAAAACTTCTGATGAATATTTTTCAAAGTCAAATCGAAGTTTGGACCTCAGATCAACTGCTGATTTAGGGTGCAAACAAAATTGTTCCAACATGCAATACAGCTCTTCTAAATCTTTATACAAACATTCAGTTGGATAAATTTCCGGATAAACCAAATCTCTGGGCAATAGAGGCAAACAACCACAGTATGTTGCTTCCATTCTGTAAAATTGAGGCAACAATTACCAAAACCTCAACAATTATTCATTACGGCTTTAAAACAATTAATGGTAAAAGCTTTGAAAAATTCTTGTTACTCGAAAACTCAATATTGATGGAGTTCCATAACATCAAAGTTATGTTTTATTTTATATTTACCACGTTTCCAGTATAAATTCTAGTATCTTATAAAAGGAACCAAATTTGAAAAAGAGTTGTGGCCAAACACTAATTTTAAAAAATATACATATAATTTTGGGCTTACATTTAATTAGTATTGAGATTTAAAAAAAAACTACTATTTTTATGAATAGAATCACTGACTAAAGGCATTTTGATATGTTTGAAAGAGAAATCACTCTGGTTGCCTAGCACCCACAGCAAAATCACCAAAATTGTTGTGCCTTACAAATTTTATAAATAAAAATGTCCAACTCAACCAAATCGCTGTGGATGTTTAAACACCCAGAGCCCAAGGGATTCGGCATCTAGGGAAAAAATATATACTTACATGGAGACCCCAAAAAATTCATGTTTTGCAGTAGACACAACTATATGGCTTGAGTTTAACACTTCAAGATATTTTCTTTTACTCTCTACATATCCAAAATGAACAATATTATCATTCAGTTCTTCCCTGGTCTTGTTAAATATTTCTGAAACATCAGTATATGTTTGTCCTAAAACTGATAACTTGAATTTGCATTTGCTTTGCTTAAGCTTCAACATTACATTGAAGAAGTCATCAGGACCCTTATCAAACTCCCAACGGTGCGGCCAGACTATGTGTAAAATTGATTCTTCCAATTCACTAGTCAAGTTCATTTGAATATCTAAAGGAAATTTTACAGGAAAATATAACACTTCCGATTTTCCTTCAATGCGTTCTCTAATTCCCATTGGTTTATTGTCAGGAAAGATTTTTAATATTTTAATAATGCTCTCCAAAAACGACGATCTATTAAAATTAGAATTAAATAACAAATGATCTGCTGCCAAACTGAAATGAGTTTCCAAAATGTATCAATTAAAAATGCAATTACCGAAATTGTTCACCTAGTTGTTATTTCATTATAGGCATATTGTATGTCTCGGTCCTTGATCTGTTGCACCGGATAGATTAATTGATTCTCATGAAAGTATACAATCTTTTTTAAACCGCACAAGTCCGGCCTAAGTCCCAATAATTCTGCTAAGTTTAATACTGAACTACAAAAAAGAACTGTCTGTGTCGATATTCTCGGTATTCTATCACATAATATCAGAGCACTGCAACGTGCCCTCCAATGCCATTTCCTTGCAGATAAAGTCACCAGGGTATATTTAATTCCTCTTTCATCTAAGCCTAAAATATTGCAATATGACAAAATTTGTCTTCATATATAAGAATTATAAACAATACTTCCTGATAGGGTGTCGATAAGTTCTTTGTGTGAACCTCCATAAAATGGTTCAATAAATAGTACTTTAGGTCCATTAATACAAAAGTTCTCCATAGCACAACAGGAAATTTATTTCATTATTGAAAACTGTGAACTCCCTAAATACAAATAGAAATAAGTAAAAGTAATCAACATCAATACTCATAACAAAATTTGAGGTTAGTAGTTTACTTGGTCTTGGTACGCTGACGTCGCTGACTCTGGTAGTTGCAATTTGTAATAACCAGTAGCGCGTTTCCACGGATCATAGACTTAAAGATAGGCTACTCCAGCTCCCGTCAAATCGTATTTTATTTGTGAGGCATGCCACCATTTTTAGAGATGCCGAATTCATATGTATTTGTACTTTACTCCAAATTGTTGAGAACTATAATTCAAGTGGCAAAAATATAGTCAAATCTTTAAATGACAAAAATATTATTTTTAACTGCTTTTTCTTTTCATACTTTTAATATTAAAATTAAAGTTCCTCGTTTGTATATCTCATTAGCTTCAGGACACCCTGTATATCGAAGATACATGAAACACGTAACGTGCAATCAAAGAAATTTATTCCAAAAAAGAAATGCATATGATACCATTAGAAAATTAAAATACCTAGATATATGCTGCATACCACTGCATAGAAGGATAAATGTGGATCGTTTCAAATAACTAAACAGATTTATGCAAAATCTGTGTATCTATTTCTTTTGTTGGTATTTCCCTTATTATTACGATTTTAATTTATTAAAATTTTCACTTTTTAATAAATTGATTTATCTATACAGGGTGTCCGCAAGTTTCACCAACAACGTTTGACTGCATATTCACAACGATAAATAAATAAATAAATACGATCTCCAAAAAAAGTTAAAAATTTTTTTCAAAAAAAGTCAAAAATAAAACTAATTTTAATTAATAACTTCATAACCCTTTTACCGATCGCGTTCAAATTTGGCACATTTATTTGGAGTATTATTTGTTAAAACTTTAGTCAAATCGTTATACTGGGTGGTAGTTTTCTCCAGTTACCTCCTCTTTTTAGCTCTCTTTTATATGCTTTAGTTTTATATAAATTCAGTTTAAGGAATATTGTCTTTAATAAAAAAAAACATACATGAGGTTAGCATGCATTAATGTAATATAAATTCAGTTTAAGGCATATTGTCTTTAATAAAAAAAAAAACATACGAGGTTTGTAGCAACATAAAGTAAATTATTCCTATTTTATTACAATCTATAAATTAATAAATGAACACGATATTTTATTTATTATTTTAGTGATATAATTATGCATTTCAAATAAATTAATACATTATTACTATAAAATCAGTGTAGTCAATGTTACATAATTTGTTTGTTATTTAATCACTCGACAAACAGGTCTTATGGTCTTAATACTATCACAGTATCAATAATTATTCTAAAAGCCTAACACAAGAGTGGAATTTGAAAATTAATCATATTCATGGCTGCTCTCTTTTCCAAGCAATGCATTTTTCTCTTCCTCCGTTACCTCAGTTAAAATCTGCTGATGCAGCGGTACTTTAGTCACCCTAGAATTAACTTTCCTTAACCCCTCCGTCGCTCCCGACTCTGTAAGTCTGTAAACAAGACAGTTGATAAATAAATATCAATAACATAATGTTCCGAAATTAGTTATTTTAATAAATCAATAAACAGAATAATAATTTTTTTTGTACATCACGTTTCATTGGAATTCCACAAAATAATATTAATGTGGAGAACGATGAAATGACATACTTAAAGACACAAAATTAAGAAGTTATTGTATAAAGTGACAATTTCGCAATGTATTATTCTGCGGCCAAGCTTGCAGTGCCAACAGCAACAAATCTATAATACTTCAGACATTTTACAAAAATTTTTTGAAATATACAGGATGATTCAGTCATAATGTCATTAATTGTAACCACATATTCGGAAGGCTTAATAAAGACAGAAAATCGGAAAAAAAAATTTTTACTCCACTTTTAAAATTGAAGGAAATCAACCCATAACTCCCGCTAAGAGGATGGCCCTGCCAGATGCCCAGATGGTCGGAAAATTTTGTAACGTAATGTCACGAATCAGTCGTCAGCTGAAGCGAACAGCGTTGCCAAGTTCACATCATAATCTGTGGTTCACATTTACTTTGGGTTCCGAATTAAACGTATGAGGATCATGCTACATTTTATTATAAATAACTTTAACGATTGTATGAACTTAGTGCAAAATGTTTTAACAAACCTGACTTCTCGAAGTCAACTTTCGTTAAAAGAAAATAAATAAAGCAGAAGTTTGTAGGCACACCGTATTTTATCAATTAAAAAAAGTCGGCACACTAAATACCCGAATATACAAAATACATTACACACAGTTACAAAACCATTAACAATTTAAAGCATTTATTCAAATCTACCACCCTCCATATCTCCCGCATTTTTCCTGCAAAGGCGTGAAGATCACACCATATAGATGGAGAGGGGGTGTGGATTGAAAAGACACACGAATATGAGGATATGGTGATTTTATAGGGAGTGTACAGAACGCAAATGCCGCTGATAGACAGAACTTCCCAAGCCCGTGGACAATTGTGCAAACCATTCAACGTCTTCGTGACATGGGGTCAATCATACTGCGCAGAGAACGTGCAGGACATTGACAAAATGACTTAAATGTGATAGAGGCTGTTTTAAATTTAGTCGAGGAGCAGCCTACTATTTCCACAAGAACAATTTCAAGGCGACTGGAGATATCACAAAGATATCACAAACCAAAGTTTGGCGGATATTGCGCGAGAATTCACTCAACCTACACCATTTTCAAAAAGTTCAATCTTTAGAACCTAATCGTCTTGAATTTTGTAATTGGTTCCTAAATCGAAGTGCAACAGAACCTAACTTTATTAACAAAGTGCTCTGGACGGATGAATGCTGTTTTACTCGTGCTGGCATTTTAAACAGGTAAAAAACATATTACTTTCTCAAAAACAATTAAGTACCTACCTAGGTTACACCAAAGTTTACATTTACACTAAAGTTTACATTTATTATGTAAACTTTGGTTATACTCAACTGCATATTGAATAATAAATTGAACATAATACTAAAACTGTGTATTATTTAACATAATAAATTATAAAACGTGAAAACGTTAATAATATTAAAAATGATAATTTGTAATAACCGTACATTCGAAAACAATCATCCCTATTCATTTGTTGTTTTAGTATCAACATTATAATAAATAAATAACACTTGTTATCACAATATTGAAGGTAAAATATCTATTTATCATGTATCGAGACAAAAATGTTTGTGCATGTACTACATTTTACCTTTGTGCGTGCCACTGTTGTTTACTTGTTTTTTGGAGGCGCTCTCCGATTTATGACCAAGCTCACCAAGTTAGTATTTGATGTATAACCGATCACTTTGTACACTCAATGCACATGGTCGACTACAGCTATTACCAGAACACAGTGCGCATGCAGATTTTACATTCAATTTCATTTTAAAATTGAAATAGTTTATCTTGCGCCTTCTAAAAATGATGACACGATTTTCCTTTGATAAAAAATCAACAACTTTTTGCTCTACTTTGCATCGAATACAATTCTACGACAGTCATATAGTGCACGTTCAAGTCAAAAGTGGGTTAGAAGGTTAGTGACCTGGACAGGTTAGCCTAGGTCGAAAATATGAAACAAGTTGTTTATTTGTCTCCGTCCGATTGTTTTTTTATGGAATATACAAGTCTCTCTCCTATTATTACTTACAGTCAATATTTAAATACTACATACATTTCACCCTCTCTTTATAATTTATCTAGTGAGTGTTGGTTTTTTGTCATTATTTCTGTAATGAAATTGAAATGGTTATGAAATGAAATTTAAATTATTTGAACTCTTGGAGTTTTGTAACTTCAATATTAAATTTTATTTAAAGTGAAACAGAGCTAATTTCTTTGGAGCCATAATAGTCACATTTGGTCACATGAAAACCCGCACACTACTCGTCGGTTTAGCTTTCAGAGGAGATTCAGTTTCAATATATGGGCAGGAATAGATGGCGATCATTTAATTGGGCCGCATTTTCTACCTGAACATCTGAATGGGCCACATTACTTTAAATTTTTAGTAGAATTGTTTGAAAACCTTCCTCTTCAGATGCTATGGGATATATAGTATATGCACAACGGAGCTCCGGCCCATTTTGCTCGCGATGTCCGTGGATTTTTAGACGATCAATGTCCCAGTCGGTGGGTAGGGAGAGGAGGGCCCATAAGATGGACAGCACGCTCGCCGGACCTAAATCCTATGGAGTTTTGTATACAAGGTTATATGAAATCTGTTGTGTATCACACCGAGGTAGAGAATGTAGAGCAGTTGCGGAATTGTATCGAAGATGCCGCTGAAGAAATATGTAAAAACCCTGGTTTATTCCATCGCATCCGCCACTCATCTATCCAACGTGTACACTTGTGCATAGATGGTAACGCTAATGTATTTGAACATTTGCTGTAAGCCCGAAGGCTTGCAGCAAATTAAAAAATTAACATTATTATGTTAATAAGAACTGATTTTTGACAAGGCATGCTCATACCTCCTCGAGGTTTTTGCTGGGGAACAATAACAATTTAATGTGTTGATTGCATAATTATAAAAAATAATTTATAGCATTTTAAATTATTATTGGCTGACGTGAGCAAACCGTTTATTTATTGTCTTTATATGTGCAAAAATATATAAATATGGCAACGTTGCATCTAAGGCACGTTGTTGATATCGTAGCCGTGCGCAAATTCTGAATAACCGACTGACGTCAGCCGGTCAGTAACAGCCTGAAAAGGGGGTTAAATAATGATTTGAAAATATTTTTTTTCTGCTTAAATATGCATTTAATTTTTTTTTTTAATCACGCCATCGTATTATACTCATTTTTCTCTATCTGCTCTTAAAATTAATGACATTACGACTGAATCACCCTGTATATATTTTTTTAAGTGGAATTCATCCTATTCTCATTGAATCACAAATTAATATCGAGGTTGTATAATATACTCACACTTGATCCATTTCATCATCCTCGTCATCACTGAGTGCAAAATACGGATTCTGTGAAGCTGGTCTAAATTTATAAGCCGTGAGAACAAAGAACACGTAAGTGGCCATTTCACGGAACATTTCATGTAACCACCCGTACTGAAACGGTACTGTAATCTTCAACAGATATACTATAATCCTTGTCGAGTAGATGTAACACACGATCATGACATAAAAGTGCCTGAACAACTTCAACTTTCTCAGATTCATAGCAGCCTTTCCATCGGTCTGCGAAGCCTCTTGCAGGTGTCTTATAGACCAGACGACAGGGAACAATATACAACCGCAACATAACAAATCGACGAGTATAACGAAATTCTTCCATGCGACATATTCACGAGCACCTTCCTCGCTCTCTTCTAATATAATCTCCGCTATGTTAGCAAGCACTTGAAGGGGTATTACAGCCATGAAAAGTCGCTTGTCTCTCGGAGTGAGGACGTGTTTAATGAAAGTCCATCCAGTGCCGACAAGTACCAGAACCACGAACAATAATGCCCCTTTGAGTAAGTGCGCAACATAAAACAGTATAGCCCAAGTAGCCAGATGGACTCCTAGTCTCTCGATGTAATGATAATTGACTCCATGAAACGCTAGAGAGATTGCCTTTAGGAACACTAGCACAGTCATCATGTAGTGTATTTTGAAAACGGGGTGCTTAGATTGTCTCAGCAAAAAGACCCAAAACATGCCCGACAACAGAAATAGAATAGACATCATGCAGTAAAGAGCAGGTAAAGGCATGTCTCCAGCAGATAAGTAGCTGCTTGGGTTATGTTCAACAATTTCCACGGTAAAATCCACGAAAGTCTCTGTGTCGGGATTATAGTTCGGGCAACTGTGGAAGAACAAGTTATAAAGTCCTTCCTCTTGAATACTTTCCACGGCCATGGCAAACTAAAATGTAATAACATATTTCTCTAATAATTAAAAATCAAATCGGTAGTTTTGAAAATAGTACGTACTGAACATGAAAAACCTTGGAAGGAATACTTACGGAAGCATTGTAATAGGAAAATTCATTTTCAACGTCTGACTTTATATCAAAATCTAAATTATTGCAAGATCCTGTACCTGACGCAGTCTTCATATCTTCACTGCTTTTGTAGATGTGAACGATTTGTTTTTCTTTACATATTACTTTTAATCTAAAAGTAAATTGTATTTAGTATACTGTAAACTTATAGAATTAAGTTCTTACTTTTTATTTTTGAGATCAAGTTTAAAATAGATTACAATTTCATCATTATTAAGTATTTTCACTTCGTCTTCTAAGACGCAGTGATCTTGATGGCCATCTAGATAAGGATTCATGCCATCATTTATGGTTTTATCCAGGCTGAAACCAAACTACTTTTTTTATTAGTAAAATTGTATCATATTATTATTTTCAATATCCTAATAGTCTTATTTTATTAAAATACCCCATTTTGATTTTATACAACAAGTAACACCTTAGAGTATTACGAGTACCTAACCTAACCCAACCTAACCCAACCCCTAACCCTACCTAACCCAACAGGGTTAAATTAGTGTTATGGAAATAAATCAGTTTAAAAACAGGAATTAAAAGCACAAAGCATACACATGCTTTGTGGTCCAACAGGACACTACTACAGGACTTTACTCGTTTCATTAGTTTTTGATATATTAGACACTTCTAGTAAAAATTATAAATTTTCAATTTTACTACAATGAATACAGCATACTAAAATATAAGTACGAGTATATAGAACATAGAGCATAAAAATGTTTCTGCAATACTATTGGATTAATAAGTTCCCAAATATATCTTCGTCCTACCAAACTAAGTTTTATTGTTAGTGGTACCTTAATATGGAATTAAAACTGAATTGTAATATATTATTCTGAATTGCTGTTCTAACTAATTAACCTATAAAGTTATGCGTAATTCAAATTAATGCCCACTTACCACAGCGGAATCATTCTTAGGAGTAGCTCGAAAATTGATTAACTTTACTTCTAGGACCCCTCCAGTATAAAATCCAAACGTACTAAGGGCAATGTATCTACGTGCATCGTTCTAAAAATGATAAATAAATTTTCACTTCTGATACTTCAAATATCTATATCTAAGTCAAACATTCTTGTATTAAATCGTATATCATATATGTAACTAATCCGACTTATTTCTATAGAAATTCATAAATACTAAAGATTTTCAAGATATTTATAAATAAATTTTAAGCATAAAATGCGTAAATCTTTGTACATGATTTGGAACACTGGATGATTACGCTAGGTACTTACTGTTATTTCCAGATTATGTATTCGGGCAGAAGACAATGCTGTACAAATGTAAATACAAATAATTTTTTCCAAAGAGGACCTCATAATTATTTTTAAATAAAGCTATTGATTTGGGGTAACCATGTAGACATTATAATGTGATAGAGCATATAATCACTATAATTTCTAGAACCTATACCAACAATCCAAAATAAACCATATGATCTGTATCAATAGTAGAAAACGAAGGTTTTTAGTATTTTAGGAAGGTCACCAAATTGGGTTATAATAATTAAGTTTATCACAACACTAATTAAATTCTGTTAAAACACTCGCACAAAATAAAATATTTTTAATAAAATATTAGATTCGCTGTCAAATCCGTGACTGTCAAATTTGAACATGTGTAACAAAACAACTACTATAACAGACAACTGCAACAACTAAAAGCACTAAACATTACAAGTGGGAAGCGTTCGGAAAAATAATGTGATTGTTAGAACAATGGTTCCACCCTTGTAGGAGTAGTACCACTAGTACCGCGCCGCGCCATTATTCTATGGCTAGAAATTGGCCTCAATGATTTGGGATCGAGGGGGATTATCCCTCTTTATCCTGCCTCATCTCGTGTAGGCCTGGACAGCCTTCGTAGGTGGGCCCCATCCGTCGTCTACCCCGACCGCAAATGCGGCCGGTGTAGGCGCTTTGTGGGACCTCCTTTTGTCCTGGCTGGGCCCCGCCGGCTAGGGCCCTTTCTTCTGGCGCTCTTCTTGCTTCGCCGGCTCGTCTGTGTAAACCCCGGGGGTAGTGTCATGTTTATG